TTAAACGTTATATTTATTATCGAAACAAATTTCGATGATTTCATAAATAATGATTTGAAAGCAACTGAAGAACATGTGACCAAACAATTGCGACAAATATTTTCAATGCCTGATAAATATGAAATTGATTTGGTATTAAGTCAGGGAAGTGTTGTCATAAACATGAATATCACAGTCAAAGAAAAAATAGATAAGAATATGTTTAACAAAAATATCAATTTAATTGATATTAAGGGCAAAGAATATTCTGCAAAATTCCTGAAAAGTGAAGAATTGGTTGGGAATAGAGGTGAAGATGAATCCACGAATAGTACGGCTCAGCCATTAGCTACTACTCTAGAAATACAGACAACTGGTAAGAATATTCTGATTTTTAAAATATTATACAAATGTTACAAAATATATTAACAAATTCTTAAATATACAGAATTGACAACAAAACCAACATCTGTTACCACCATAACAATTACTACAACACCTAAACCTACACAACAGGTTATGTACCAAGATTTCTATGTATTGGTTTAGTACTAATGCCATACCATTGCCGTCATATCGAACTATTACTACAGATAACGACAACAACTGATTCCCCGCCGCCAATGTTGATGACAATGATGATTGATGGCGATTACGATATAGTGGTGGGCGGTGACAAAGAAAAGTTTCTAGACAAAATTAAACCTCAGTTGGCTGCCTACCTACGGGTTCCCCTAAAATGCATAGAAGACATTAGATCGAGACCTGGATCAATTATTGTGGAACTTTATTTGGTTACCTCTTCGAACTCCGAGTTCCCCATCAATGAGGAGGCGCTCAAAGCAGCCAAACAAGAGTTTTCCGACAAAATCCGTTCAAATAATGTTTTTATAATAGACTCGAAGGGTGCACACCATAAAGTGCTGTCCATTCTCAACACTGATAATAGTGGTTATAAGAATGCTAACGGCCCCCAATATGTCAACACGATATAGTATAATCCGAATCCATAGCCACGTGACTAAGACCACCACCACACGTGCAACTAGTGGCCCACGAGGCATATGAGGATATACGTATTCTTCATATTAGCGTTCTAATCTGGTGTTTGAGGAACAGTAAATATTTATTACTAATTAATAATAATAATAATTAATTTAATAATAATTTTTAGATGGAGTTCCGGGGCTCGTCGTCTAGAGACGGCATAAATGTTAATAACATTAAACTATACGAAGGGATGCCTACTCTGGAGAGGTCGAGCAGTACTGGACATTATTCTTACGATTCTGGTGTATGGATAGGCGTACCCCAGGATCCCGACCTAATTAACTCGCATAATGTGCCAGATCCTCCCAATTATATGCCACCAAATGATAGGGAGA